GGATGACAGCGACGACAGCGAACGAGGACGACCCCGGTTCTTCTCCCCCGGCCGGCGGCGGTGCTGTTGTTGCCGGCGAGAGAGGCGATGGCGTCGGCGGCGGCCATTGCCGCGGACCCGCGCTTGGAAGAGGAGGAGGCGCCGCCGCCGTTGTCGTCGCTGTCGTCGGTGAGGTAGTCGTCTGTCTTGTTTTTAACGGCGCACCAACGGTACGGTCGCGGGGCGGGGCGAGTGGTGGGAGCGAGCGGGGCGACGTAAACGGCGTCTTGGTTCGATGCGGCACGGCAGGGCGGGGGGGTGCTTTTCTTCGAAGTTTTTTTCATTCACCCAAGGGGGAGGGAGGGAGGGAGGAATTCCAACTGCATGTGCATGTATCGCGAGAACACATAGGGCGGGACAATGCCGCATACAAGCGAGACAATATCACGAAGTACGTCTGTGCCCTCCTCCGACACATTGACAAAGCGGGCTTCACACAAAAAATGAAAGTCTGAGGCACGTATGTGGGAGTCGGCGGTGCTCGTTTCTCGTTCTGTTTTTCATTTGCCGCGCAGGTTGTCATCTGCTTTCCGTTCAGGGGTAGTGATAGTGGACAGTTGTGGGGTAACTCGTCGGGCGTAGTTGAACCTCCGAAACCGCAAAAACGATCTGAAGCGAACCAAGAACCTTCGCCCATCCGTCCAAAACAATTTCCAGTTTCACCGCCAACGCAACAACATCACCTTGCTCTTGCATCACGGGTGCTGGTACGAACCAGTTCTTAGCTGAAATCAAACACCATCATTACACGCGCAACCACCCCCCCCCCCTACCCACATGGTTGGGGGGTGCGAGTTGTACAGGAAGGAAAGAGAGGATCCCGAGGAGGAAATGAGACAGAGAGGGTGTGACATGGACAAGTTTGGTAAATTAGACAACCGCGAAAAAACGATCGCGATAATTGGGGATAGATGGTGGGCACAAGAGGCCCTAGAGGACGGGGATAAGATGTGCAAGAAATTTTTTATGGAGTTTGTGGCAGAAACGTAAAGAGCTCCCAAATGTTGGTGGTGTCTCTAGTAGACGTAGGAACGGTGCTCCGTCTCGAAAGGGACGCGTGGTCAATGGTCAAATGACTACGGCAAGCAACAAATGAGTACGCCCCCCCCTACCCTCATCAAGTCGACCCCGGACATTTTCTCCCGTCCCCCGCTCCCACTCACCCTCGTTGTCAGAGGCCTCCTCGACGTACGTCACCCTCCCCTTGCGGTCCCGCGTGCTGTACGCCGAGGCGCGGGCCCCTTTCTCCCCCCTCCCGTCCTCGTCCACGCTTTCCTCCCCCCAGGAGTCGTCCTCGTCCGAGCCGTCCATCGCCGACTTCCTGGCCGGCTGCTCTGCCGCCGCCGCCGCCGCCGACCGCTGCCGCTTGAGCTTCGGCTTCCGCGGCTTACCGCTGCCCTCTCCAGCTTTCTTATCGGTGCCGTCGCCACCAGCGCTGCTGCTGCCAGAAGAGCGCCGGCGCTTGAGCTTTGGCTTCGAGGAAGGGGGCGGCATCCCCGCCGCCGAGGCCGCCGCCGCCGCCGCCGCAGGCGGAGCGACCCCTACTACCCCGCCCGCTCCTGCGTCAGCGGCCTTCGGCTTCACGGTCTTCTTCCTAGGCTTGCCCTTCACCACCTCCACGTCGCCGCTGAAGCCGTTGGCGCCGGGTGAAGGCTTGCCGGCGTCGGTTGATGACGACGGCGGCGGTGGCGGCGGCGGCGGTTGTGTCGATGACGGTGACGACGACGCGCCCTTGCGACCTCTGACTTTGGCCGCCTTACCCTTGCGCTTCTCGACCTTCAGCCGGACCTTGACGCACAGCGAGCACACGAACTTGAACTTCTTCAGGGCGTCTGGGGGAGAGGGGTAGGCAGGCAGGCAGGCAGGCAGGCGGACGCGTAGCGGTGGTGGGAGGATAGTTCGTGGTAAGGAGGAGGCGGAGGGGAATAATCTCTCTCCCCGGAGAATAACATGAACAAAAAAACATGAATACCTACGATCGGGTTCGCGGTGGAACATTTGGAACCGCACGGTTCTAAAACCGACCAACAAACCAACAAACAAAAATCCAATCCAGTATCATACCGCAGACCGGCACAAGCTTGATTATATACGCAAGCCTTCCAAAACAACCCGCAGACCAGGGATCGACATAGGAACCACCAACCCCACACAATGAATGGCACGCACCCCCCCCCCCCCCCCCCCCCCCTTTTTT